TATGCTTTCTCCTTTTATTTATGGATCTGTATAAGGCTGACAACTAGTAGCCAAGCTACACAATCAATACTAGGTTGTTTTGAAATGTCCTCTGAAAAAGCTGTTAATTCACAACTTCCCAATTTAGCCTCAGGCAGGATTCTTGCACAAGGGGAGAAAGCCACCATGTTCTTTCACAAAATATAACCAGGAGTGATAGGGCACATATAAATATTATTCTTTTCTGAAACCTCTTGAGCCAGGCTCCTATGGCACAAGTTATTCTCAGTACTACTGTCTCCCATTACCATATTCATATAGTCCTTTTGTAAGGACCCAGAAAGAGGACCCCAACTCAAGTCCCAATTAGCGCGCACCCAAGGAGACACGAGAGACTGACTTGATGCAATGGCAAAAGGCAGTTTACTAACAAGGGCCCTTGGATCGAAACTCATCCCACGCAGGGGAGAGAATTTCGATGAAGACCCCAGGAAGTTTAGAACTTTTATAGGGGGAGGCACAAGGGGGAAGGAAAAAGTGGGAAATTTTGGCGCGATTACATATGATTGGATATTTCAAACATCAGCACTTTGCGTAAGCAATCATTTTGACAGGCTGGATGGCCCACTATTTTTGACCATGAAGCCTCAGACCTTCTAGGATAAACACCAGGTGGCCCATTACTCACTTGGGTGTGTTTAGACTGGTCAAGATATGTCTTTGGTTGTTTCTACATTTCTGGTCACCTCGTCCCTAGAGGGGCTTGATATTTTTATTATGGCTACTCTCAGTAAGCTCAGCAAGCTGTCCTGCGGTCTTTGCCAAGTTGTTTGTGGTCTCTGCTGAGCTGTTTTAATTTTTACCCTTACACTTTAAGTGATGGTTAGTGTGTTCTACTACATTCAGAACCCAGATTCCCAAAGGCCACAGTCCTCCAAAAAACATGGACCAGCATAGCACAACAATACCCGAGTTGTCTTTCTTAGGGCTTCTATTTCTGTGCAGGGACACCATGATCACTGCAACTCTTATAAAAGGAAAACACAAAAACCTTAATCGAGGATAGCTTGCAGTTCAGTGGTTTAGTTCATTATGTCCATGGTAGGAAGCATGCTGGCATGTAGGTAGATACAGTGCGAGAGATGTAGCTAATTTTTCATCTAGAGGGACAGATAACATGAACAATCTGATTTGAGCTTCTGAAACTTCATGGCCCACCTCAGTGACACACTCCCTCCACCAAGACTGTACCTCTTAATAATACCATTCCCTATGATCATATGGGGGTCAATTTTATTCAAATCAACACACTGCGGTACTGGAAACCAGTTGTTGCTTAGGGCACTTGTGACTCAAGTGGTCCTTAAGAAAATTAAGAGTCTAAAAATAGTCGTTCTGGTGATGGAGGCTATTTTTATTGTCTTTCCATCTGTTCAGATTTAGTTAATCAATGTCCTCAAAGGAAACCAGTCCACCTCAGCCCATATCCAGGCATGATAGTGGCAGAAGGTGACACACAGAACCTTTATTTGTCTCTCCAGATTAGTACTAACAACTCTTGTGCCAGGGAAATGTTAGTGATCCCCCCTCCCACTTCAGACAGACAGGAGCCAATCTGATGTAACTCACAGCAGGGTCTTTATTGTATTTGAGTTAGCTCAGGTCCCCGCAGGATAGTTTTGGTAGGGGGAGAGACCCAAGTGTCTATCACACAGGCTTTATAGTAAGCAGCAAGCAGGGAGTTTGTATGCAAGAATCTAACTGGCCTTTAACATAATTGGCTGGTGCTGGGAGTCATATCATAAACTTAATTTCTGCTCCTCTCTGCATTGGTGGTCATTAGGCAGGGACTGGGCTCATAAACTGGGGAGGGGCAGATTTGTTGGGGTAATAACCTGGAGACTGTGGTCTTGTTGAGGGTGAAACCTGGAGATATTGGTCTTGTTGAGGATTAGCCTAGAGAATGGAGCTCGGTTCAGATTGTTTTTTAGGGGGGAGGCAACTTGGAAACTAATGCTAGGAACCAGCCTGTTAGTTTATCTGAGTTCAAACTTAGGTCAGGTTCTCTAAAATGGAGTCTGAACTTAAAAGATTTGGCATTTCAATAACAATTCTTTTTCTGGTGAGATACAGGAAAATCTAAAAAGAACAGCAGCACACACAAATGGTGATATTATAATGAGAGAAGATCATGTTTGTTTAGGTTCGTCATCTGAGGCAAAGGAAGTAGGATCCAGTGTTCAAGGTTATCTATGGATTAATAGGGATGTTTGGTTGGATTTCAAGCTGGTAAAACCACTTTAGAAATTAGTCTGGTGGTTCCTCAGAAAATTGGAAATAGTTCTACCTAAAGACAAAGCTATACCACTACTGAGCATATACACAAAAATGCTCCAACATATAAAAAGGACACATGTTCCACTATGATCATAGAAGCCTTATTTATAATAGCCAGAAGATAGAAACAACCCAGATGTACCTTAGCGGAAGAATGAATACTGAAAATGTGGTACATTTACACAATGGAGTACTATTCAGCTATCAAAAACAATGACTTCATGAAATTCACAGGCAAATGGATGGAATTAAAAAATATCATTCTGTATTAGGTAATCCAGACATAAAAGAACTTATTCACTGAGAAGTAGATATTAGCCCCAAAAGCTCAGAATAACCATGATACAACTCACAGATCATATGAAGCTTAAGAAGGAAGACTAAAGTGTCAAGGCTTCAATCCTAATTAGAAGAGGAAATGTAATAATTATGGAAAGTACAGGGATCGAGGAACATGAGAGGGAGAGAGAAGGGGGAGGTAAAAAAGGGGGTTAGTATCAAGTATGGGAAGAGACAGGAGCAGGAGAGAAGTACAGATGGTCAGGAAATTGAATAGAAATATGTAGCAGTGGAGGATGGGGAATTGGAGGTAGTCACTAGAAAGTCCCAAATGCTAGGGAGGTTCCCAGGACAATGACATTAGCCAAAATACCCAACAAAGGGGAAATAAAATCTGTAGAGACCACCTCCAGTAGATAAGCACAGCCCCCAGTTAAGGGATGAGGCCATCCACCCATCTCAGAATTTTTAACCTGGAAGTGTTCCTGTCTAAAGGAAATGTATGGACAAAAAATGGAGGAGAGACTGAAGGAAAGGCCATCCAGAGATTGCTGCACCTCGGGATCCATCCTGTCTGTAGATACCAAACTCCAAACACTATTGCTGATGCCAAGAAGTGCTTGCTGACAGGAGCCTGGTATAGCTGTCCCCAAAAGAGGATTTGCCAGTACCTGACTAATACAGATGCAGATACAGTCAACCATTAGACTGAGCCTGGGGACCCCAATGAAAGAGTTAGGGGAAGGAATGAACAAGCTGAAGGGGATTGCAACCCCATAAGAAGAACAACAATATCAACCAACTGGAGAGCTCCCAGGGACTAAACCACCAACCAAAGAGTATACCTAGAGGGATCCATAGCTCCAGCTACGTATATAGCAGAGGATGGCCTTATCTGGCATCAAAGAGATGGTAGGCCCTTGGTCCTGTGAAGGCTTGATGCCCCAGCATAGAGGGGTGAGAAAGGTGTGGGTGGGTGGGTTGAGGCAAAGGGGAGGGGGGATGGAATTGAGGTTTGCAGAGAGGAAACTGGGAAGGGAGACAACATTTGAAATATAAATAAATAAAATGACCAATATAAAAAGGAAAAATTTTTCAAGAACCATGAGTAAAGTGGGGTTTCTTAAATAAGTTTATTCCTGCTATAATTTGTAGACATGTAAAGTATAAAATTTATGTATATTTTCTTTCCTTTATCCTTCCAAATTTGCATATGTCACAAATAATATTCCAGACATAACTTGATACACAATAAATATGAGCTTAGTTCCACATCCAGGGCCACATTTACAAAAACATTGATGATACACTGCTTTCTTATATAAACCCTTGTCTCATGAGACATGGCTGTTCACATTGTACTTGTTATTCTGTAGGTATAATGGAATACAGAAGTAAGGACTATTCAGAAGCTTTCAATTTATTTGTTGTTAAAGGGGAAGTGTACAGTCCTCTTTCAACGTTATGGACTCATAGCTCGTGAACAGAAAGACAGTCACAGTTGGAGTAATCCACCTCTTCAGCACTGAAGAGATTACTATCCATGTTGATTCTTTAATATCTGCAGAAGTGAATTTTATCAGCAACATGTAGAGAGAGACAATACAAAGCACAAAATTGTAATAGTCAAATATGAATCATACAAAAAATGCATTCTCTATGTGAAGTGAAATGGTTTAAGATGATAAATGTAATGAGTTCATAGTGCCTGCCTGTTTCCATTGATTCATACAGAGACGCAGGTGGCAGGTTTGAATCACACTTCATTTTGAAAGTGTATGCAGAGCTATATCCAAAGTAGAAATTCCTTTGAGCTATGAGTCCACCACGTGCACATTGAAAGATGTTAAAGGTATATGTCTGAATTCAAACTGTAGGTATGATTAGGGAAAGAACATACAATGTCACATACTCACAAGGGGAACAGCAAATGCAGAGCATAACTTACCTTCTATTTTAAAATAACAGATTGCAGTATAGAATGCAGCAGAGCAAAGAAACATAAGATAAAAGCATAGACTCCCATCAAACAGGTATAGTTATTTACTTCATCGTAAAATACCCCAAATCCAGAAAGCACAAGACAAAGGGATTTAGTGTTATTTTTATTTAATTACCTTTACCTGAAACCTAATATTTACTTAATTTTCACTAGTGTTTATAATTTAACTATGTCACATGATCATGCTAATTTAGATATATCATTTTACTAGCTTGTGAACAAAATGACACATGCAATCACACACACACACACACACACACAGTGAACACACTCATTGGCAGCACAGGGATATGCATCCTTTCATGCAAAAGACTCAGCACTTATTTGTCATGACTGTCATTATGCAGATAATTCCTTCAGAAGAATTCAATAACCATGTTAGAAGTTACTAGAATCTTTCAGTTTAGTTCTTGGCTAGAGGCTTTGGGAAAATATTCATTTTCAAGGGCAGGCAAAAGGTGGATGCCCAAGAGTCATGGCTGATGAAGAGAAAAGGACAAATAGTGGGGAAAAACAAAGATGACATTGCAGTCACATTCAACAGAGACCAGCTGGGATTATAAATGAGACTTACTAAGAGTTGACACAGAGAAGAGATTGTATAAAAGGATACAAATGTGGTGATCAGAAAAAGGATGGTTTTAGTTGCTCTGGATGTAGGGGAGGATCTGGAAGAAACATTTATCCTGGGCATTGATTTCATCCTTTGCTTGTCCCTATACAGAGTTAGAACCATGAAGCCGCTGGCATATAGCATGATTCCCAGGAAAAGTATGTCAGGACATGACAATAATGCTGCATACAAGATGTCACTGGTTGGATTATGACGCACAGCATGGCAGTATATATAAGACTTTAGGTTTGTTGTACTTTCATTGCTATATTTTCCCCTCATATGCACAAGATTAATACTGCTTATAATGAAGTGAATCACCCAGTTCAGGTATACAGAATAAAAAATGCACTTGTGAATTTTTCCTTTAAGTTCTGAATATCTGGAGAACCTGGGACTGATGATTAAGGCCTGGAAGACACTGAGGATGGCTGTGCTGCCAATACAAACACCTCTAACTATTCTGTGAAGGGAGAAAATCAATTTGCATCCAATATCATTGAGGAAGTCTTTCAAGCCAAAAGCTGCCATTGTATGGGGTATGCCTTTGGACAGTAATGTTAAGATGTTGGCTACAATTAAGTGCATCAGAATCCAGTCTGTAGGCCTCAACCTGTCTCTTGTTAGGTAAAGAAACATACAGTGGTAGAGGAGAGAGAAATTAGCCAAAATTCCAATCATAGTCTGAAACACGATGATCAATCCTACAGACAGTTCACTGGCATTCATTCAGTCAGTTTTTCCTCTCACTGAGGATACTAAGTCAAAAGATGAGGCTGTGGCCACTTGTAATGTATCACAAGGTACACAATATTCTCTATCTTAAATGGGTTCATAAGACATATTCAACCTGTAGGGCATCTTCCACTTTGGCATCAATTGTATACGTGAAAGCTACTGAATGTGGCACAAAGCACACAAATATTTGTATGTTTATACTCTCTTGAATATAGAAAAAGACACGAATTTCCCCTTAACCCTTCAGGCACAAAATATCTGCACATGCTCACCTAATATCTGAAATACATCATTGCCTCCATTGAAACAATTGGACAATAATCAAATGGCATACATTAACTTAGGGAAATAAGCACAAAATCATGCAAAATGTGGTTAGATTGCAACCAAATCAGTTTTCATGTAAGATCCTAGATAATCTATTTATTGATACCCAAACAATGTGATTTTCTAACTAATGAAATAAAAATTGAGTTTTTTAAATTAATGGTATAATTCCAACATGCAATGTGATAAGTGACAACTTCAAACAGTAACTTTGGTGGAAATGTGATTCATATACTAGTAGATACTACTGTTTAGAATAGTTTAGGTTCAGAGCGAAATGTAGGAGTGAGAGAAAAGGATAACCCAAAGAACCCAATTTTGTGATCAGTGTTCTCATTTTTAGTTTCCTTGAGAGTGTTTTTCAATATGTGAACAAATGATTTAATCCTAGTGGTTGAAGGCAGGAAGAAATTATATTTATAAATGCCTTCATTTAAATACCCCTTGTTATGCCCACAGGAAAATATTCCTGAGATCTTAATCAATTTGTACATTTTGAAGCTTATGAGAATTTTGTTTCCATTAACTACATCCTCAATCTGAGGAAGAGCAAGTTTTGGTCAAATGAGATCTTTATTTACAAGAAGCTCCAGTCAAGACCGCATTGCTTTATGAAACAAATTTTACTCCTTATTACAAGCATAAAGGTATAAGAGTTGTAAGCCTAGAAGCTCTGAATATGTGTTATGTTTATTAGATGAAAGCACAAGTTATTACTACTGTCAATTTGTTGCTTTGAGAACTTTTAAATCTGATTTTATCTATGAAAGTTATTTACAAATATTTCATAGAAAACTTTGCACAAATCAAAGTGTACCATGTTAAATCTGTGACACAAACAACATACTAATGAATCATCCATTAAGAGCTTATGACCAAGTCCATCACTGTCTACAGTCCCCACTGTGTAGAAGAGCTCAAAGAAGACTAAACCTCATACATATAAACTTCCCACAAAGCCAAACAGTGTCACCAAATATAACGAGTTTCCTTTATTACGGGCTATCGTGAAATTTCCTCATAAAGGAAATTCTGCTTTCTTTTAGAGAAACAATATGTGACCTCAGAAGCACCAGAATTCTCTTCCAATAGGACAAAGCTCAGAAATCACTAATAATAAAGAAAGGGATGAATTAGAATTAGAATGCAGTGCTTCTATGAACCCAGTTCTCATTTCTCCTTGATCCATTCTTTAGGAGTTTCTGTGTGTCTTCTGAGGCCTTGGCATAATCCACATTAAGTCCAATGTCCTAATGTTTCCTATGACCACTTAGAATACTCACACATTTTACCTTTCTTCCTCTGCTTCCAAATTGAAGTCTATTCCATTCTCTTCACTCTTTTTCTTCCTACACTGATGCTCTCAGCATGATGACCCCAAAAATGTCATATGGAAGGTAGCACCCTGTGCCTCAGATATGTACTTATGATTCTGTGACCTCCCCTCCCCTCAGACCTGCAATTATTATTTTACTTGCAGTAGCAATGGCCATTGCATGTAGGGTTGAGCAGGCTAGGATGTTGCTCTGAAGTTTTCTTCCCTGGTGACTATTAGTGAAGTAGAGGTACAAGTTCCAACTGTCAGTTCTTAAGAGAATATTGTAAATTTCAGAGAGGTGATTATTTGCTCTGCTCTCTAGAGGTCACTAGATCTCAACTTTAGAGTTGAGGAAATAATGTAGCCTCTCTGAGGTCTACAGTTGAGACATGCATGTGCATTGTATTTCTTGATTATTTGGGAAGTTCTGTACACAAATCTCATTATGCCTTCCTCATCTCCAGGGTGTCATCATCATATATGGAATGAAAATTCAATGACAAATATATTCTTCGATATTTTGAAAGTGAACCATAAAATGAACAAAATGCTATAAATTCATAGTAGTATTTACTGAATAAATTCAAGTCGTCCAAAGTAATTTATTATTATTCATTTTTACAATTGTAACCAATGATCAATTGTCATTTTATGAGAAAATACCATTTATCAACGTTGCCATTACTAAGTGAATTGAAATACAATTTTAAAGAGAACTAATATGTATGTCTGGACAATTCTGCTGTAAGCAGACTGATTTATTAAATGAATTTTAATTAATGTATTACATAAAATATCATTTCCAGACTTTACTTTTTCTTTCTGAGTTATTGGTATGTGATGACTGAGGCTCCTGAACGTCAAAGGGTGTTGACATTACTAATGCTTGATGATGATAACTAGTTACTAAGATCAGATTTCTAATGGCACCATTCACTAATGATATAGTTCAAAGAAAAATTAACGTAAACTGTCCGTAACATACTCTCACTATACCCTGCAAGGTAAACTGCTAACTTTCCAGACAAGTGATGTTGACTGGTTCAAAAGTGGCATGGCTGCTATGGGAGTAACCAATCACTTAAAAGATGGATATGAGGCCTGTTTGTTATTTGGGATTTCATATCTGATACAGTGAACTTAGTCAAAAGTCAGAGACTGAGGATATCATAGGCCCTATGTTGAATTATGATTCATGCCTTTAAGCCTTCTTTTAAACATATTTGTAACCATATTTCATTCTTTCCACCTTTTGTTAAGTTTTATTATTATCATTATTATTATTATTATTATTTAGTTTTCCAAGGCAGAGATAAGTAAGGACTTTTCTTTCTTTTTTAATATGTTTGTATCTGAGGGGAAGAACAATGCTTTCACATATTCCCAGGGGAAGTCACTCAATGCAGGGAACCACTTGACAGGGACAGAACAGCTAGAAAGAAAAAAATCTTAATGGTTCACACAATAGTTGATCAGAGTATGTATAACTATTCCATGTAATACTGTATGCTTACTGTAATGGAAGTTCTATGTTCCTTGAAAAGTCACAAAACAGCTAACTAAGCTGAAGTAGCTTATTGCAGAATACCATTTTACATTCAGCAAATAGTGGAAAACCAATAAGAAACTATTTCTCCTAGAAGTTTGGGATAATAAATGGAATCTACCACAGGACACATAGTTTCCATTGTAGTAACTGATGGATTAAAAGTAATATTGCATACCCTGAAGACAGTGCATTTAAGACTACATCAAAAATACATGTGGCCTTTTGTCATAGTTTTCGTTGGATTGTTTTGATGAAACACCAAAGGAATATCCAGAAGGAAACTTGTAGAGTGCATCATGAAGAGAAGTCAGGACATACTAAAGGTCAGAGGACTAAAGGCATCCTAAAGTTCAGAGGTCTAATTGAAGGAGTCATATTTATTCTACCACATGGATCCTGGAGAATGATGTAAAGTCATCAGGCCTACTGCCTCACTCTATTAACATAGTAAGGAAAGTTTCTAGATTCCATAAAATGCATAATCTTATCTAGGCCTAGATTGTTTTCAGCCTCTGAGACTTACTGCTGAATAAGCTCACTCCTTTTTTGGTCTTTCCGAACTCTGGCTGAATGGTAAACTCAGCTGTTCTGGCTCTAACTCCTCTCAAAGCTGACTGATTCATTCTGGCCTCTCTCTCTTAGCCCCAAACTCTGGCCATCTATTCTAATCTTTTGAGCTCCTTCTCATTCTCTGGCTTATTCTGTCTTTGCTTTTGTCTAGCTTATTTTCTCTTGAAACTGTCTCGGTACAACTATCCCTATAAAACTGTTTCATTGTTTTCTCTTCTTTTTCCCTGAACTACTCTCTTAAGTAGCTTTCCTTTCCAATCCCTTCTCCTGAGACTTGAACATATCCTATTTGGTTAAATCTTTCTCCAGTTCATCACTTTGTCTGTTTCTCAATTAGACATAAGTTTCATATGTGGATGCTCTGTCTTCAAACTAAATTCACCTTCATTTTTTGGGAATAAAAGTGTATACTAACAGGGTCTATCTGTCTTCCAGCCAGAGGAATTAAAGTTGTGTGCTAAGGGATGAGCCATACCATAACTAGAAACAGTTTTTGTTTCAGTAAGTAACACAATCTCAGGGTACACAGTGTGATCATATATCCTGCAACAAATCTTTTTTAGTTCCCTGCAGTAAGAGGGTGCATTTTTTTCTCATATAAGAAGTAACAAAAAAGTGTGATAAAAGCAAGGAAACTTCAATTGCTATGCCCATTTTACTACTTACATCAGAGTATAACTAGCAATGGGCACCCACTAATCTGTTGTATGTGGAAACTATTTCACTAAATAATTTTCAGCTTTACAGTAAAAGATAATACAGTATTCAATTTACACAACTGGCTAGAGTGACTGTGCTTATATTCAAACAATTTATTTTATTGCTACTGTTGTTTCTCATTTCTGAGAAATTATTTTCATTATTTTCACCCTCTTTTTCTTCTTTCAAGTCTCCAAACACTACTACCACCTCTCCTTCAAATTCATGGTGTTTTTTAATTATTTTTTATCATATGCATATATGCATTTGCACATCCATATGTATTTCTAAATATAGCATGTTGAGTCCATATAATGGTACATGTATGCATGTTTTCAGGAATAAGCATGTGGCACAGATTAAACAATTTGTATACTTTTTCCTGGGGAAGAGCTCTCTTCTGACCATAGCTTTACTAATTTTCCTGTAGGTTTTGTGTAGGGTTGAGGATTTTATTAATGACTCACATGGCATTATAACCCTATGTGTTCTGTGGTCACATAAATATCTTGGCAATAATAAATACTTCTCTAGTTGGACTAAGAA